TGTATTGAAACACATACATATTTCATTCGTTTTCACTGCTGAGTAATATTCCATTGCATTAATATACTCCCTCAATTTACTCATTTATTCTGTTAATGGCCATTTAGGTTACCCAAAATGTTGTTATTTTAAACAATAGTGCTATGAATATTTTTCCACATTTGCCATTATGCAAGAGTTATGCCCTTATGCAGAGTTCCTTTGAATGATGTGCTTATGAGTGGAAATACTGGTCATAGGATATGCATATTTTCATAGGATATTTCCAAATTGCTCTCCAAAGTATTTGTGCCAATTTATATTCATCAGCATATAAAAGTTTATTTCAGCACATCCCTACTAATACTTAGTATTGTCAGATATTTAAAATTTTATAATTATAGGGGCGCCTTGGTGGTTCAGTCGTTAAGTGTCTGCCTTCGGCTCAGGTCATGATCCCAGGGTCCTGGGATCGAGCCCCGCATCGGGCTCCCTGTTCGGCGGGAAGCCTGCTTCTCCCTCTCTCTCTCCCCCTGCTTGTGTTCCCTCTCTGGCTGTGTCTTTCTCTGTCAAATAAATAAAATCTTAAAAAAAAAAAGTTTAAAATTTTATAATTATAGCAAGCATGAAAGTATATCTTTCTGTGGCTCTAATTTGCATTTTCTTGATAACTCATGAGGTTGATCATCTTTTTTTAAAAAGATTTATTTATTTATTTAGAGAGAGCAACAGAGAGCAGAGGGTTGGGGAAAGGGCAGAGGGAGAGAGAGAATCTTGAGCAGACTCCCCACTTAGTGCAGAGTCTGATGTGGGGCTCGTTCTCATGACCTGGGCCAAAATCAGCAGTCAGATGCTTAACCAACTGAGACACCCAGGTGCCCTGAGGTTGATCATCTTTATTTTTTTTTAGGTTGGTCATCTTTTTATATATTTATTGGCCATTTGGCTTTCTTCCTTCATGAATTGCCTTGCATTCCACTTTAGTTTGTAGTCTTCAACAGTAGACTAAGTGGCTAGGTCAAATTTATTTATTTAATTCTTCTATATGTCGATCATTGTGCTACATGCCAAATATATAATGGTAAATAAGATAGACCACTGTCCTTGTCCTAATGTAGGGATACAAAGTTATTTTTCCCCCTTTTTCAGCTTCCAGTATTGAGATATAATTGAATGTTTTTCTCTGGGCTAACTCAGTTTGATAACCATCAACTTTCATGCAAATATCTACTCTCAGCTGGAGATATCCAGAGGGCTTTTATAGATTAAAGTCATCTCAGACTGATATTTAATATCAAATATTGAATGCTGTATTAAAAATGATGTTTGTCTAAAAAGATTTGATTTGCTGGCATCCAAGGAGATACTCAAGTCTGGACTCAGAAGAGAAATCCAAGCTATAAACTTAATTTTGGTAGTCATTTGTTTATAGATGGTATTTAAACCATTGAGACAGGATGAAGTCATTGGAATGAGTGCAGGTAGAAAATAAAAGAGGCTTTGGAGTGGACCTTGGGGCATTCTGACATTCCAAAGTTGTGGAGGTATGGAAGAATCTCAAAAGAGATGGAGTAATATCCAGGAACCTAAGGGGAAAAAGGAGCATGTGGGATTCTGCAAGCCTAACAAAGGCAATGTTTTAAAGAGGACAGAGTGGGGCTCCTGGGTGGCTCAGATGGTTAAGCATCTGCCTTCCGCTCAGGTCATGACCCCAGGGTCCTGGGATCAAGCCCCACATCGGGCTCCTGGCTCAATGAGGAGCCTGCTTCTCCCTCTCCCTCTGCCTCTCTCCCTGCTCATGCTTTCTCTCTCTCTCAGTATCTCTGTGTCTCAAATGAATAAATAAAATCTTAAAAATTTAAAGAGGACAGAGTGATGAAATATCAACTACTGCTAATATTTCAAATAAGATGACATCTGAAGATTAATAAAAGTATAGAAAAAATAAAATCATGGCTGAGGTAAGTACTGTGTGGGGTGGCATATAGGATTGTGTAAGCATATAGGAGGAGAATTTGGATCAGTGACTTCCCTAAAAACATTATAACTACTGAAATGTAAAGAAAGGACAATTGAACTGAGATGTGAAGAAAGAGTGAAATAAACTAGTTGAAATGAGAAGAGTCTTCAATATGAAGGAAACAACAGGTATAAATGCTTTGCAGGTGGAATGAAGAGAAAATAAGCCAGTGTAACTGAATTAAAGAGAAATAAAAAGGGAAATGGTATGAGACTCGAGAGCTGGGCAGGTCTAGGACCATGCACAGCCTTTAGGCCATGTAATGGTTTTGCTCTTAATCTATCCTAGTAGTAATGGGAAGCTAATGTTTTTGGTGAGAAGTCCAATGCCATTTTGCATATTACTTGTTTCTCTAAGGAATCTCTTAAGACTTTCTCTGTATTTCCAGTTTTCTAAAATTTTATGATAATGTGCCTTGTTCTGGATTTCTTCTTTCATTTTAGTGGGTATTCATTGGGTAATTTCAGGCTTGAGATTAGTTTTGGGAAAGTTTCTTGTAGTATTCCTTTGATACTTTCTTCCCAATTTAATTTCTCCTCTTTTTCTGAAACTTCAAGATGATTGACCACCCAAAAGGATTCTTTCATTGTCTAATTTTTTTCTCTCCTGTCTAAATTTTTTCTCTCCCAGGCACCCCAGTAGAGTGCTTTTAATGAGGAGGTTTAGGTTGAGTTTCTCAATCTCAGTCTCACTTTCTCTCTCTCTCCCCCCCTGTAGAGATTGTCTCATAGGCAATTGTCAGATTATTCCAGTATTATCCTTTGCCCATTGAATTGCTTTTTTTTTTCTAAAGATTTTATTTATTTATTTGACAGAGAGATAGAGAGAGAGCACAGATAGTCAGAGTGGCAGGAAGAGGGAGAGGGAGAAGCAGGCTCTCCGCTGAGCAGTGAGCCCGATGCAGGGCTCGATCCCAAGGCCCTGGGACCATGACCTGAGCTAAAGGCAGACGCTTACTGACTGAGCCACTCAGGTGCCCCTGTTGAATTGCTTTTCACCTTTCACTTGCTATACAATTCTGGGTTACAGGGTTTTGTTTTGTTTTTGTTTTTCTTCTTTTAGCACTTAAAAAATGTTGGACCACTTTTTTAAAAAATTGTGTTGAAAATCACATAACATGTGATTTACCCTCCTAACAAACGTTTAAGTATAGGGGTGCCTGTGTGGCTCAGTTAGTTAAGCTTCTGCCTTTGCCTCAGATCATGATCCCAGAGTCCTGAGATCAAGCCCCGAGTCAGGCTCCCTGCTCAGCGGGGAGCCTGCTTCTCCCTCTGCCTTTGCTGCTCCCCCTGCTTGGGCTCTCTGCCTCTCTCAAATAAATTAATAAAATCTTAAAAAAAAAAAACTTTTAAGTATAAAGTATTATTTACCATTACAACAATGTTGTAGAGCAGATTTCTAGAACTTTTTCATCTTGCATAACTGCCACTTTATATCTTTGAACAGGAGCTCTCCGTTTACTCCTCCCCCCAGCCCCTGGCAACCGCCATCCTATTTTGTGCTTTGATTAACTTGACTACTTTAGAAACCTCATATAAGTAAAATCATGCAGTATTTGTCCTTCTGTGATTTGATTACTTTACTCAGCATAATATCTTCAAGTTTCATCCATGCTATAGCTATCACAGAATTTTGTTCTTTTTATGGCTGAATAATACTCCTTTGTGTGTATATACCACATTTTCTTTATTTATTTGTGATGGGTATTTGTTTTTTTCCACCTCTTGGCTATTATGAACAATGCTACAATGAACATGGGAGTACAGCTATCTCTTTGAGATTCTGATTTAAATTCTTTTGGATAAATAACCTAGAAGCGGGACTGCTGGATCATATGGTAGTTTTGTTTTTGTTTTGTTTTGTTTTCGAGGAATCACCATACTGTTCTACATAGCAGCTGCACCATTTTACATTCTCAGCAACAGTATAAAAGAATTTTCAGTTTCTCAACATTCTCACCAATAATTATTATTTTTTAAATGTTTTTTAAAAAAATGGTCATCTTAATAGGTGGGAAGTGATCTCATTGTGATTTTTATTTATTTCCATTTCCCTGATGATTAGTGAGGTTGAGTGCCTTTTCTCTCCTCTTTCTAATCCTTTTCCCGCTCTCTAATTTGGGAGAGGGCGAGATGCTGCTCTTTGCTCTTTTGCTTAGTACAGGGTAGGAATTATCAACAAGGTTCCATCCCCAGTGTCTGGAACGGAGGGAAAGGTGCACTGCACCTTTCATGATATTTACCTGCACTTGGGAGGGTATACTAAAAGAATTCTATTCTGCAGACCCACCCTCTTCCCAGTCCTTTGAGTGGGGTTTTCCTTGGGGCTTTTGGGGAGTTTTTGTTTGTTTTGTTTTTGTCTGTGCCCATTGCATATATAGGAGACAAACAAAAAAAAACAAACAAAACAGCATACACAGGTCATTTCTCAATTTCCGTGGTCCCTAGCTAGTCTGTCTGTCTTTTCCCCACCTTTCCGAGTCGTCTGATAATTGCCATATATATTTTGTCCATGCAGTTTTCATTGTAATCAGCAAGAGAAATAGGGTTGAATATGCTTACTCCATCTTGCCCAGAACTGAGTTTTTTTTAAGATTTAAATGTTATTTCTTTAGAGTTTTCTTCTGCCCCCAGCATTCTCTTAGTCTCCTCTTAATTTGATTTCTTTTTTTACTGTATTTTCATATATCAGAGGCTAAAATTCATTATTCATATTTAATAGTGAGGCACTAAAAGTCTGGTTTACAGACCCTCATTCTTCTATGTAGGTCTTGAATGACCAGCAGTTTTTACAATAGGGCAACTCTGGCTACCTGTCTTTTTTTACTGGCTACCACTATTAAAGTATATAACTTCCAGACATGTTAAAAAAACATAACTCATACAAATAAGAATGAACAAGTATCAAAGATTGTATTTTCTCAGTAAAATGATATGACTAATTCAAAGGGAGTTGAGAAGCTAGCATATGCATATGCTAATATATATTTATCTTTAACCAGTTGCAGAAGAGGAAGTCAAAGTGACACTCCCTGGATGGCCTTGAAAGTGTACATTCATTCTGTGACCTGCCTATGGGGGCCATGTGGAAAGGAGCTGACATGGACCAATGGATGATGACTACAAGGAAAGGGGGATCTCAGTCATATAACCCCAAGGAACCAAATTCTGCCAACAAGAAGAATGAGCTTGGAAGAGGATTTTTCCTAAGGCGTCCTGATCAGAACATAATCTAACTGACAGCTTGATATCAGCCTTATGATACTCTTAGCAGAGAACCCCACCTTGCTTTGCAAGACTTCTGACATACAGAACTGTAAGCTAACAAGTAAGTGTTGTTTTAAGCTGCTAAGCTCCTGGTAATTTATTATGCAGCCAAAAAAATTATACAATGACAAAAATGGGTGTATATAAATCGGTAAACATGTCAGTCAGTCTAAGTAAACATCCATATAAAAATAACAGTATCTATTTTGAGTGGTCTCCAAAAAAGACAAAAATAAAATTTTGAGCAAAATCATATAAATTGAAAGGGGTTGACCATAGTTAAAGTATTCTAAGATACTTATATTTGGGGGCAGGAATTTGTAGGTGTGGTATCCCTCCTAAAGTTAGATCTGATCTCCCCTCCTTCCTGAACAAATACCCATTCAATCAGTTCCTTACATCCTATGCAACTAGGTGGCCATATGTCAAGTTCTGACCAATATAATGTGAATTGGAGTCATGCGTGCGCCTTTCGCCTTATTTGCTTAAAAGAAAATCGCTTGTCCTAGACTTCTGGTTCCCCTTTTTGATGTTTGGAACATGGACAGTATAGAGACCTAGCTTTGACCACACAAATGCAGACTGTAGGGCATCCTGGAACAGTAAAATGGAATCGTCTGTGTCCCTGAATGACTAAGAGCAGAGCCATACTGCTAACCTGACTATATCTTAGGACCATTACTTGAAGTAGAAATTCACATTATTTAACTCTGTATTTTAAGAGTTCTTTCTTAGAGTAACTTAACCTTAAGCTGACTAAATCAGTCCCTGAAACAAATGCAACAATCACAGAAACCTAAAATATGGGGCACTTGGCTTAGCAAAATTTAGGGCTTAGCACTGAGGAAGTGGATCTGGTGTTTGGGGTACAGAAGCAGTTGGCCTTTTCCAGCTTGTGAGGCTCAAATTTCTGGATTCTCTATCCTCTTCCTTCTCTGCTTGCAAACTGGCATATTTTTGCCTTAGCTCATCCTTCTCTTATAACACCTTGCTAAGAGCAGCATGAGCAGCCAACACATATTCCTTGCTGCTCTTACAATGAATTATAAGAAACAGCATGAGAAAAAACTACAACTGAAACATTTCCCTAAAGCTTCCTCAAAGAAAGAAATGCAGCCCTTTGACAAAGATCGGATTAAGCATGTTGCCTTCCAACCTAAACCTATGGTTGAGATAGCCTCACAGAATAAGTGGAAAGCTGTTTCTTCTCTTTTGTTTTCTGAAAGAGTTTATAAAGAATTAATATTATTTCTTTAATATTTGATAGATTTCACCAGTGAATTCATCTGAGCCTGAGCTTTTCTTTATAGGAAATTTTTAAATAATTAATTCAATCTCTTTCCCTATTCTATTCAGGTTTTTCTACCTTTTTTTAGTTAATTTTTATCATTTGTATCTTTTTAGGAATGTTTCCATTTCATAAAAGTTATCTAATTCATTCGTATAAAGTCATTTATGATGTTCCTTTATTTAATTTCTTTAATTTCTGCAGTATCAGAATTGATGTGCCCTCTTTTATTCCTAATTCTGATAATTTATGTCTTCTCTTTATTTTCTTGGTCAGTATACCTGTAAACACTGCTTTAGTTTCTTCCAGTAATTTTGGTATATTGTGTTTTTGTTTTCATTCCATTCATATTTTCTAATTTACCTTGTGATTTCTACTTTGACTTCTGGGTTATTATGAAATGCGCTTAACTTTCAAATATTTCAGGATTTCAAAGATTTCTTTCTTTGTTAATTTTAAATTGAATTCTTTTGTGGTTAGAGAGCATAACTTTGGGTGAAAAGATATATTTTTATAGTCTTTTACATTAGTGCACAAATTTACCATTTATAGTGCTCATCACTTCTTTCTATGGATTTTAGTTACTTTCCTTGAGCCTGGTGTTTTTGTTTTGTTTTGTTTTGTTTTTGGTAAGGCAAGTGTACTGGCAATGATTTCTCTCATTATTCATTTATCTGGAAATGATTTTATTTGATCTGATTTGATTTGATTTGGTTTTTCCCTGCATCTGACTAGTTGATTTTCTTTTTTGACAGAGTAGGGAATAGGTATCTGAGAAAGTACAGATTTGAACTCAGTGTACTGTCCATTTGGGGACTGTGGCCTCTCACAGTCCTCCTTCCATGACTGAAACATTCTTAGTTTGTTATTATTTTAGGGTCAGGCAGAGATTTTGACAAGTCTAACTTTGTTCTTGGACATCTGAGGTAATGTGGACTCTTACGAGAGCCTGTGAAACCAGACCACTTGTAAGAATTTGATGTTGCCTGCAATAGGAATTGTCCTTAACATAGGCAATAAAAGGACATTTATGGTGATATATTTATTTGCTCACAGAATCAAAGTAAGAGTTAAGTATCTAGACTTCTAGAAGTACAGGAATTCACCTTTAGAGATACTAGAAATCAGATATCTTGGGCCATCTCTTAATATCCTTAGGATATCAATGGTCATACCATTGGATAACTCAGTTACAACCACCTTTGGCCTTTGCACCCCAAACCTAATGATTATACTTCCCAGGAAAGATTGGCTAACGGGTAACGTGACCACCTTTGTGGTAAGAACCCTGTGATTGACAGTTCCACTAACCATATGAAGTAAATAATTTCGATAAATAAAAATTTTGCTATTACCAAAAGAGGGAGAAGGGACACTGGACAGACAACCAAGCTAGCTATCCTCTAACCTTACCATGTCAGGCTCTTCCTCATACCACAGGTGACCTGACCAAAAAGTTTGTTATTTTTGCCTGCCCAGATTTTATTTCCTTTTATGGTAGTAGTACACTATTATTCCTTAGATATCCCTTTCTATATCCATATTGTGTGACTGGAGATCCAGGCATGTGTATGTGACCCCAGCCAGGACAATTCAAAATGAGAAGTTTCAATTCTGTTTTTCTTGGAACTGTTGTGAGAAAGGTATTCTTTTTCTTCTGGAGATTTACCTTCATTTATGAGGAATAGTTCTGTCAAATAGAATTATTGTCTTATTTTTTCTTTCAGCACTTGGAATGTGTCATTCTACTGCCTTCTGATTTCCATTGTTTTTTTTTTTTTTTAAGATTTTTTATTTATTCATTTGAGAGAGAATGAGATAGAGAGAGAGCATGAGAGGGGGGAGGGTCAGAGGGAGAAGCAGACTCCCTGCCGAGCAGGGAGCCTGATGTGGGACTCGATCCCGGGACTCCAGGATCATGACCTGAGCCGAAGGCAGTCGCTTAACCAATTGAGCCACCCAGGCGCCCCTGATTTCCATTGTTTTTTGATGAAAAGTCAACTATTAATTTTATTGATGCTACTTTATATATGAGTTGTTTTCTTCATGTTGATTTCAAGATTCTCTTAACCTTTCAACATTTTTTTTTAAAGATTTTATTTATTTATTTGACAGAGAGATAGAGAGAGAGAACAAGTAGGCAGAGAGGCAGGCAGAGGGAGAGGGAGAAGCAGGCTCCCCGCCGAGCAGGGAGCCCGATGCAGGGCTCGATCCCAGGACCGTGGGATCATGACCTGAGCCGAAGACAGCTGCTTAACCAACTGAGCCACCCAGGCACCCCACCTTTCAACATTTTAACTATGAAATATCTACTTATGGAAATTTTTGTATTTATCTTACTTGGAGTTTATTGGACTTTTTGGATCTATAGATTTTTTTTCTTCAAATTCAGGAATTTTTAGCCATTATTTCTTCTAATATTTTTCTGCCCTTTTGTCCTCTTACTTTTTTGGGGGGGTACTCCCATTACATGTGTGCTGGTACAGTTGATGTTGTTCCACAGGTCTCTGAGGCACCATTAATTTTTATTCAATCCTTACTCTTTTTGTTCTCCAGATTGTATAATTTATAATTGCTCTATCATCGCTTCTCTGATTCTTTCTTCTGCCATCTCAAACATGCTGGTAAACCTAGTCTATAGTGAATTTTACTTTATTTATTATAATTTTCAACTCCAGATTTTCTATTTGTTTCTTCATCTTTTAATAATTTCTACATCCTTATTGAAAATCTCTATCTGTTGATTCTTTGTTATCATACTTTAATTCTTTGTACATGGTTTCCTTTAGTTCTTTGAACTTATTTGTAGTAGCTGCTTTAAAATCTTTGCTATATAACAACATCTGGAGCATCTGAAGACACTCAGACACAGTTTCTATTGACCTTTTTTTCTAAATATGGATCTCACTTTCCTGTTTCTTCACATATCCCATAATTTTTTGTTGGGAACTGGACATTTTAGATAGTATACTGTAGCATTTTGAATGCTTAATCTCTCCCTTCCCCCACACCTCAGTCCCACAAAGTTGTTGTGCTGGGTTTCTGTTTGTTCATTTGTTTAGTTACTTGCCTGGGCTTATTCTGTGAAATCTCCCCTGTGGAGTGTTACCACTCCACACTTGGCTTTCTAGGAGCTGCCTTTCATCTACATAGTTTAGTAGTTTGCCATTGATTGACAAAGATTGTGTTCAAATACCTTGAGCCAATAAAGCTCTGTGATCTACAGATAGATCTATATGTAGGCAGGAGAGCACATTCAGGACATTTTCTTGTCTGGCTCAGGTTTTACTTTCAATGGGGTCCTTTTGAGTCTCCTGTCTTCCATATGAGTGAATTCTTAGGAGTATGTGAATAGCTTGGGACCATTCCTTATCCACTGTGTGTGTGTGTGTGTGTGTGTGTATACACACACACTTCCTCAGTCAGTAATATGCTTGCCCCAACCAGGACTGCAACCTTGGGGAAGTAGAGTCAAGCTATTGGCCCTCTCCAGCTGGCCAACCTTTGGGAAGTCACTTCCATCAGCAGTGCCACTTGGCATGGGTCTTATCCACCATTCCAAATCAAGTGAGCCCCTTTTGAAAGTGGCAGAGAAGCTGCCAATCCTCACAGCTTGCCCCACCTGGCAGAACCTCCACATAGACCAAGGCAGATATTGTCGGAGCAGCCTACACTATAGGAGCAGCAGAACTCCACACATTCCTACTGTTCTTACCTGATGTTCAGCAGTACTGCAAGCATTAAAATGCTTCTCAGACTGTTTATGGCTTTGTTTGATTTCCAGAGTGCTGAAATGGTTATTTTTGTGAATTTGCCCCGTGTATAATTACTCTTTGGAAGAATGTTTGCCGAGCACATCACTATGCAATAGCCAGAAACTCTGCTCTCTGCTTCTATCTAGACCTTCTTTTCTCTTCATCTCTATTTTTCTT